CCTGTAAAGAGGTACAGTCTTGGCAACGCACCGGGGCAGTGCTACCCTGTCCTACAGGGTCGCTACCCGTCGGAATCAACTCAGTGACAGTTTAAGTTTGTTTTGTTTTTTAATATAGATTACAATACAGAACCGATTTTTTAAATTTCAAAATATTTTTGTGGGGAGAGAGGTGGTTCATTATACAACATGTATCTTGGCTATGATTTTAAGAAGTTAACATATTGTCCAAGGGTGATCTAATAAACAGACGAAGAGTATTACAACGGAAAATGTAATGGAGAAAGTAGGATTCTAAATGATGCAAGAAAAAAAAAAGAGACTTAAAAAAAACTATAATCAAACTTCAACGGAGTTAGGGGTGCTTCAACGTGAATATGTTAGTACAAACCCCCAGATTCATTTTACTATCCTGATGATGTCATCAACAGTTTACACTCATTTTATTTATTTATTTATTTTCAGATGAGTGCACGGTAAGTGGTTGTTTTTAAATTAATTTATTGAAAGATCCTTATATTGGGGGCTCTTGTAACTCCTGCAACAATCCAGACATCAATTGTATCGAGCATATTTACACAGCTGTTGGCGTCATTCTTTTCTAGACAGTTATTATTATTTTTTTTTGCAGAGTGCTGTTTATTATTTATTTATTTATTAAAACATTTTATTGGGGCCTCATACAACTGTTATCGCAATCCATACACACATCAATTGTGTAAAGCGCATTTGTACATCATTCTCAAAACATTTTCTCTCCACTCAAACTAGACAGTTATTTTCTATTGAGCCCTTGGAATCAGCTCCTCCCCCACTACCCCCACTGCACTCATTCTAGCTTTTCTGATCTGAAAGGATTGACTGCCTCCTCCCCTCTCTATTTTATCATCTCTGTCCCTGTCGTTAGGCAGTTACACTGAGCTTCCCGACGATCCCTCTAATTGTCACCCTAGGTTTGAGCATCCATTAATTCTTCCCAGCTGCTTGGATCGATAGCAAAGGCAACCCTAAGCATCAAGGTTTTATACACAGCACAGCCACCTTCCTCCTGAGATGCAGGGTAAATATTTGGGACATCAGTATGATAAATAGCACCCGTTCTCTTTCTAGTCAATGGCCAATTGTTCTGTGTGTGAATAGTGCCCTAACTCTCTTTCGAATATTACAATGTATTTGAAAGAGCTATATAAATTCTAAGTTATAGCATTTGAGAGAAGATAGCACTATTTACAAACCGAACAATCTGCCATTGACTGGAAAGAGAATAGATGCGATTGGACCCACTTTCTCACTCAAAAACAGCGCAGGCTACTGGAATATGATTATTTCCAAGTGCTTGGAAAGGAATATGTATTTTGCTCAAGGTCACCAATTAGAGGTAGGGCAGAATTTAAACTCAGGACTGCATGCACCCTGGCCATCCTTACTCCTCTTAGGGGCGTCGTTAAGTAATTGAAAATGTAAACTCCCTGCCATCAAATCAACTCTGACTCATAGTGACTTTGCAGGACAGAGGAGATTGGCTCTTTGGATCTCCGAAGCTGTAAATCTCTATAGAAGTAGAAAGTCTCGTCTCTACCCCCACCCCCCCAGCAGATGGAGTCAAACAGCCAACATTGTGGTTCACAGCCCAACTCATAAGCCACTGCACTACCAGAATGCCTAAGTAATCAATGCAGGACATTTTCTACAGTCTCCCCCCCACCCCGCTGTTATTTTGCTTTAGGAGAATTTTTCCTGCTTTGGTTGGTGTAAGGTATGATGGAGTGGGCTCACTCAACTCACTGCATGGAGTCGATGATGAGATGATGACCCCAAGGGACCCGGCAGGACAGGCTAGAACTGTCCCCATGGATTTCTGAGGCTCTATCCCTCTTCAGAGCAGTGGTCCTCAGCCTTCCTCATGCCGCGACCTTTTACTATAGTTCCTCAGGTTGTGGTGGCCCCCAACCATAAAATTATTTTCGTTGCTACTTCTTAACTTTAATTTTGCTACTGTTATGAATTGGGCAACCCCTGTAAAAAGATCGTTCAACCCCCAAAGGGGTCGCGACCCATAGGTTGAGAACCGCTGCTTTTTTGGAATAGAAAGCCTCCTCTTTCTCCCAGGAAGGGTCGGTGGTTGACCTTGTGGTTACCAGCCCACTCTACTAGCAGGGCTTCTCTAGAGTACTACTGGTACCCAAATAATAGCTCTCTTTCTTACAGTTGCAAAGCATGCCTGTGTCTCTCTATAAGCCACCCTGCAAAGGTACCCCCAAATCCAGCAGCTGAAAGAAGAGAATGAATCTGTGATCTGACAATTGGGGTAAAAAAAAATATTTATCAACAAAGTAAACAATTGCTGGTATGCTACTTAATCCAAACCTAATGGGTCTTTCTCATTAGTTCCAAAGAGAATCATAATAACATATTAGTAGCTGTTACTATTCAATGTCTATTTGGGCCAAGTACTGCACTCTATCTGTAACTGATTCACTTGCATTTAGTACTCAGGACAACCCACAATATCCATTCGACATTAACCCATTTTACTGGTGAGAAGCCTGAGGCTTCAAGAGCTTATATACATTCTCCACAGTCCAACTAACAAGTAGTTAGCCGGTTGGTTTTAATCTTATACCTGAAGAAATCTTATTCCAGGGAAAACAATGTTTTTGAACCAACCCAGAAATGAACTGAAGAAGCCGACAGACTCATCTGAAAGGCACACGCGGTGCTTATTAAGACCTGGCACTCACGGGGAGACCGCTCACTCTGTCAAGTTTTCTAGGGAATTCATTTGCTTTACAACAAAAGCCTTATAACTGATTATGCATATGAAAATTTACAGCTAAGCTAGACTCAGTCTACCTTGAGCCAGGCACAAATGGTACAACTTAGAGGGAGGGAAAAAAGGTGCATTAATATAAAGCAACGTGCATTTTTTTCCATTTAAAGAAAGGTTAGCTTTTCTTAATATTATTTTTTTCTAGCTACATGGTCTTACCCCTTTGGGGATGCTGAAAAGAATAACAGGATTGACTGAGGAAAATAAAAAGCAACCACTTTAAATAGTTTGTGGTGGAGTAGATGATGCTATTATGCCTGGCAAGACTTCCTCCTGCCAAAATGAGATTCATTAAAGAAAACTCTCAACTAAATTAAAACTCTCCCCGTCAATGTCCTCCCCACTAGATGCAAGCTAACAACTGACTGAGGCCCATTTGACAACATGACGGCGAGTCATCGTTGGAAATGCTTCTATTAAAGAACAGGAACCGGAGTCCCTGGGAAATGTTATTTACTTTTAACCCCGGCATGATGGAAACAGCTGGCTGACTGATGACTTCTGATATCAGGAATCAGGAAGAGACAGGAGAAAGCCCTCACTACGTGGGGCAATTGCTGGCCAGTTGAGATGATGCTCTTCCTTCACCCAGCACGACATTGATGGTACCTCCTGGTTTAGGTACATGCTGGAAGGCTGCTTCGGGAGCAGCAGCTATTATGGGTTCTGGAGCTCCTGGTTTCGAGAGTGGCCGCTCCCTTGGTGAGCTGTGGTGAGATCGGTGACCAGGGCGGCTTGTGCTCTGGGATACTGCCACAGCTCTTGCCTGTGGGTGTTTCCGTCTGTGGGAAATGGCAGACGACAGAAATGTTTATGCCAAGCGGAAAGATGCTGCCAGTTCTGCCGTTTTGTGATGCATTGGGACCGCACTCTAAGACCTCAGATGCTTAGCAGTGGGCTGGACAGTGACATGACCCTGACTTTTTCCAGCGGGGTGGGTGGGGAGCTGACACCTGGACGAAGACAGTCTAAGTCTCACAACTTGCAGTTTGTCTCCCTGGTGGTGCAGTCTGCATGGTCGGCAGTTTGAAACCACTAGCAGCCCCACAGGTACTCCTGCCGACAAGCAGGGGACCACGGTGAGTCAGCAATGACTCCCTGGCAAGGAGCTTTTTTTTCCTTCTCCTAATCTCATCAGGGAGCGCCAGTGATGTAGCTGTTCCGTGCTGGGCTACAAGTTCAGCAGGTCGAAACCACCAGGCACCCTGGAGGAGAAAGAGGGGACTTTTCTACTCCTGTAAAGAGTTAGTCTCAGAGACTTACAGGGCAGTTGTACCCTGCCCTATGGTCCCTGTGAGTCGGCAGAGCCCCCACGGCAGGAGCATGGAGGTTTGGACTCCTCAGCCGGAGGGTGGGGAACTCTTCTCCTCACCACTAAATCTCAAGACAAGGTCTGTTGATTTGTAAAGGCAGCATCTATCTGCCTGAATCTTTTACTAGAACGTTTGGTCTTTGAAAAGGAGCCCTGGTCATACTGGGGGTTAGCTATCGGCGGCTCACCTCCAGGCCTGCAGTTCAAGGTAACAGATGATCTTGTCTGCCCCTTGAAGATGGATAGTCTTGGGAAGCCTACACACTTGCTCTTTGTTGGCACTGATTCCACGACAGCAGGTTTGGGCTTAGGTCTTTGAAAGCAAGTCATGAACTTGTTTCATTCCATACCCAACTTCCAGTTTAATGCTCGATTCACCATGGGGATGTGCTAAGTTTGATGAGTGACGGAATAAACTAATGAGTATAGACCTGATAACAAAATGGAAGAGCCCGCTTTTTATTCAGGGACTGAGGGTGCTGTGGTTAGCCAGGGCCCAGGGATTCCTCCTGCTGGGATGAGTTCTCACCCTTAGGAGCCCAAGCGTGTCTGGCTTGTGAACAGGGGAGTGGAGGATGGAGTGGGTTGTTGTCTCAGTCTGTGCCGCGTCTTAAGGAAGAGGGGCTCTTGTAGTCTCTAACGTATCCTGTGGCTGATCAGGGGCTGAAACTCAGACGGAGTGTTTTCAATCTTTACTGAACCTTCGAGTCAACTAAGGAGAATAAAACCCCAAACACCCAAGTTCTTGCTCAAGACTAACTAAATAAGAACTTGTGGGGGGAGGTCAGGACTCCAGTTCTGTGGGGCTCACTTCTAGTGATATGTCAGAATCGTCCATACATATTAAAAATATCAGTAGTGTTTGCTTCCTCAACCCATATGCTCAAATTGGAAAGATACAGGCAAGAGGAGCATGGCTCCTGTGTAAGGATCACACGCAAATTCGTGAAACATTCCATGTTTGCACTGTGCAAATAATGGCTAGTTACTTAAGTTTTTAATCTGAACAAGTCAACAACTCATGTATTTTAGCCCCAAAAGCTGTCCTATACTTGTATACTTTCCTACTCTAAATTCTATACCATTGGCTAAAGTAATGATACTATCAATAGAATTACCATACTGCCCTTGGAGATGGTTTATAATGTTTCCCATTAAAAGGGTAATGATGTCTCCCAAGTTGACCAGGGACATATACAGTTCATAGATACATGAATGGATCTTGAACTCATACTAAATTGTAACTTGAAGAACAATTAGTTCTTATAGTTTGGCCCTATTCAATGCTTGTCCTCATGAGGAGATTACTGAAAATATGGGTGCTACAGCAAAGTTAAGAAATCAGATGGTGCCTGGCTTTCAGTAAGAATAACATCAGGATCTTAAAGGCTTGTCTTAAAATAAGCAGCCATCTAAGTGAGGAATCAGCTAAGTCCCCACAGAAAAAGCACACTATCCCATGTGATCCAAGGATTGTAAACCATAAAATCCAAGACTGGAAGAGGAAACAATACTAGAGCTTACATTCTGAACACCCAGTTTGCAGTCATAGCCGGAAGACTATTTGCAAGGTCCCTGCCTGAAGCAAGCCTCCAGTGAGTAGATGATGCAGGAATAGCGTTGCCATCAGACACGGAGAGTGGATTAATGCAGATGTGCCGTAGTTAGGTGTGATTTAATACCTCACCATTTGTTCTTCCTTTGATTCATTTTAAATTTGTTCTAGTTTTTAGATATTATTTTCTGATTTCTTTTCCATTGAGTCTTTTTCTGTTTTATTTTGTTATTGTTGTTGTTGCTTGTATGGTTTTCCTTCTGTGAAATCCAGGATAGGTCAATCTATAGTGACAGTAACTGGATTAATAGTTTCTTAGGTGTATGGCAAGGGATTCTGTGGGGAAATGGGGAGCTAATAATGATAAGTACAAGAAAGAAGAAAATATTTTAAAATTGATTTTCCAATTCCTTTTAATGCCCTTTGAATGGGCATAAATGTAAATTATATGCCAATTAAATTGTTAAATTATATATATGTATAGATATATCAGTAATTGACTCTACTTTCAGGGGTGTCATGCAGTGGATCTAGGTGGGATCCAGGCTTCTGAAATGACAGAGTTTTAAAGGACATCCGTGACTGAGATAACTCCATGGTTCAGGGGTTCACCTTTCCAAGAAGCACCTGTGAAACTTGCCAGGAACACAGCTTCCTGGCTCCTTTCTAAAGTAGATTCTTCCGTGGGAGGGACATTTCACATGCAGATGAAGTGACTAAAAACCCCATGTCAAGGGCCAGGTGCACCTAAGTCCTCCAAGGGACATCTTGCTATTCAACACCTTAAAGAGGTCTTATGCACCAAATGTCCCAAACCATTATTGTACTTCCTTTGATCTCGTGACTGCTGCTTCCACGGAGCATTGATTGTAGATCCAAGCCAGCCAAGCCAAGCCTTGATAAACTCTGGTCTTCTCCCTGTCTATCATGATGTTGTCTATTGGTCTAGTTGTGAGGATTTTCGTTTTCTTTATGTAGAGTTGCATGCAAGCGACAGACTGTAATCCTTGATCTTCATCAACCAGGGCTTCCAGTCTGCCTCACTTTCAGCAGGCCAGGTTGTATCATCTGCGGATCGCAGGTTCTTAATAAGTCTTCTTCCAATCTGGATGCCACGTTCTTCTTCATATAGGCCAGGTGCTTAGATGATTTGTTCAGCATACAGATTGAATAAGAAATGACAAGCAATAATGAAGAATGGATGCATTTGAATTATGATTCTTGTTAAGTATATCAAAGTGCCGCGGGTGCAAGAAGAATAAACAAGTGTGTCCGCAAGACAGACAGACAGAGTGCTCTTTAGAAATGAGGATGGCAAGATTTCGTATAGCTCATTTGGATATGTAATCTGCAGAGGGCGGCCTCCGGAAAAGGACATAATCCTGAAGTAGAAGGTCGGCAAAAAGAAGAAGAACCTCGTGCCGTTGGCTTATAGTGGCTGCAACAATGGGTTCAAAGATAACCACTGTGGAGAGGCACAGGACCAGAAAATGGTTTGTTCTGTTGTACAAACATAGGGTCGCTGTGAGTTGGAACCAACTCAGCGAGTCCAAGCAACCAAGCCCAGTGCAGGAGTGTGGACGCTCATTGTGCAAAAGGTGATTGAAACGCAGCCCACGATTACACCAACATTAGCCCAATGCTTCTCAAAGAGGGTCCCAGCGATTAGCAATAGCAGCATCCCCTGGAGAACTTGTTAGAAATAAGAATTCTTCGGTGCTGCCCCCAGACCGAATGAATCAAAGACACTGGCGGGTGGGGCTCAGCAATCATCTTGAACTAGGCCTGCAGATAATCTTAGGGCACCTCCAGCTGGAGAACCAGGGCTCTTGATCACGGTTCGGCAAACTGCGACTCAGGCGGTACATCTGTGGCTCTTTCGAAGGTGCATTTGGCTCTGAAGAAAAATTGAAAAGGAAAATAAAACAAGCAGAGTTTCATTTAAAGGATATTATTCAGATAATGGTGATTTCATTTGTTTTGAATCATTTTCACATGCTGTGAAGGACAGGACTGGCTCTAGTTTGCCACCCCACCTCCAGCTCCTTGTTTCTCAGAGTTGGCTCACCTCCCAGAAGCAGCATCTCCGGGCAGCTGATGAGAAATACAGGTTCTTGGGCTCCTCCCTAGACCTATTAAACCGCAATCTGCATTTCTTTTTTTTTTATAATGAAATTTATTTGATTTATTAATCGTTTGGGGGGGGGGCTCATACAACTCTTGCAATCTGCATTTCGCTGAGATCCCCAGGTAACTCCTTCGCTCAGTGGAGAAGTCCTGCTCTGCAATGGAAGTAGAAAACCTTGAGTGTCTCCTATGGAGACTCAAAAGACAAGAACCCTCCCAGCCTGCCCAGTTGATTCAGACTCACAGAGACCCTTAAAGAGACAGACGCCAACTCCCAAATCAGCCATCTCTCCTCCTTTAAGAAGAGACTTGGGTTCTGAACAGTTTAGCGCTAGGCTACTAAGGGAAAGGTCAGCGGCTCTGGCTAGTAACTGCTCTGTGGGAGAAAGATGTGGCAGTGTGCTTTCATGGAGATTTACAGCCCGGCAAACCCTGCGGGGCACAACCAAAGATGGGGGGAGGAGTTCACTTCCAATCTTGAAGGCTGACTGAGAACCATTTCTCTTTCTTTGTAGAAATTGATTCTTACTGCCTTTTTAAATGTCTGTGCTGTTAAAAAAAAAAAAAGAAAGAAAAGTCTCGTATACCTAGCAAACCCCTTTTCAGGTTCAGTGCTCTGGGTTCATCCTTCATAAACCATGTCCACATCTTCTGGATGAATTTCACTTCCATTTCCTTCCCCATCCGGGCTTTCACCGAACTCTTGGTCTGGCACAAATAATTCGCTTTCAAAGTGCGGATGCTCAAAGGGGCTGCTATTTCCCCTTTGAGGTAAAGGATTACTTAGTGAAGAGGGGGTCTCAGGGGATAGAATCAATTCTAGGTTGGAAGAGTCGTTCAGGGCCAATTGTCACAGGGCCCTCCAGCCTCCGCAGGTCCCGTGCCATTCCATTTCAGCGGCAGGACTTTTCTGCAGAGAAGGCGGTTGGGATTTTGTCCCTGGCTACAGATCACGCTGGGTAGTATCAATGGGTTGGCTTTCTGCTCCATGAATGCGGGGTCTCTTCCGCTTTCCTTAACGTCTTCCAACAATGTTTCACAGTGTCCCTGTACAAGTCTTTTGCCTCCTTGGTTAAATTAATTTTTAGGCACTGTATTCGTCTACATACTACTGTAAAAGGAATTGTTTTCTTTACTTCTTTCTCGAATTCCTCCTTGCTGGTGTCGTGAAATCCCACTGATATGTGAGACTTGGATTTTCACCCTGAAATGTTGCAGGGTTCATGCATTGGCTTAGCTCTCTGAAACTTTGCTCTACTGGTGTAGGGACTCTCTCTGGGAGTCACCACAGACTCCCACAGATTACTTATTGGCTACCCAAAAGTCACGCAGAACACGTGGAAATGACAGGATCCCAGAGGTGCCTTTGGCCACGACAAGTTCAGATGGATGATACGATCAGGTGGGACTGAGATATCAGGTGGGACTGAGAGCTGTACCAGAAACTCAACTTGATGCAATTTAGTGCAGTGTTTCCCAAAGTGGTGATACTGCCCCCCGTTTCGGAGACCTTCCTTCCCAGTAACGTAAATTCATACCCACCCCCCCACAAGGCTCCTGGTTAAGGTTCTGGGATATATATTTGATCCCATATATAGTTGCTAGGTGCTGTTCAGTTGGCTCCTACACATAGCAATCCTATATATATATATAATATAAAACATATAAAACAAAACACTGCCTGCTCCTGCACCACCCTCAGAATTGTTCTGATAAGTCCATCCATGCAGCCCACCGTGCTGCATCCACTTCATGATCCTCTGCTTCACCAAGCATGATGTTCTTTCCCTGGGACTCTGTCCTCATAATACACGTGTTCAAATATGTCCAAAGTGTGGGAGATGAAGTCTCACTATTCTTGCTTCTAAGGAACATGCTGGCTGTACTTCTTCCAAAACAGATTTGTTTTGTTTTCTTTCTGGCAGTCCACCCTACTTTCAATATTCTTCATCAACCATAATTCAAGTGCACCAATTCTTCTCTCGTCTTCCTTATTCATTGTCCAGCATTCAAATGCATACGAGACCACTGAACATATTACGACTTGGGTCAGGCACACCTTAGTGCTCAAAGTGATTGATATCTGCTCTTTTAGTGTTAAAGAGCTGTTTCCCTGGGTGTTAATTGTGGATCCACATAAAATGAAATCCTTGCCAACTTCAATCTTTTCTCATTCATCATTATTGTGTCGTCTGTTGGTCCATTTGGGAGAACCTTTGTTTTCAGTACACTGTAATCCATCATAGCAGCTGAAGGCTTCGACCTCCACAAATAGGGTCTTCA